CAGGTCTACCGTGCACAGGGCCTGCAATCATTGGTGGCTGATATCATTTGATGCTAGCCAAAACTAAGTTTTCTAGTAAGAAAGGCCATGAGTGTCACCTCCATCCCTGTGGGAAAGAGTCTGCAGTACAGAAAGTTAAGGAAGGTCACTATAAAGCTCAATGACAACAGGATTTGGTTCAGTTCCAAAGTTCCACTGTGGCCATGTCTAAGATCTGATCCTCCAAACTCCATTGTATGTGCCTCAAATCCATGGTACTGCAAAAGCAAAGACCATATTATTTTCAAACCTTGAAACACCCAAACTTCAAGAAGACAAATGAGGGAAAACCCTTCCAGATACTGGGGTAGACAAGAACTTCAGAATAGGACAATAGCACAGAAACTAATTAGGCCATGCATCAGCATGAAGATAAAGTCTCTTCACAGCACAGGACACAATCATCAGAGGGAACAGAAGTCACAATAGGAGGAAACTTGTACCAGCTGGACTGCAGACAAGGGACTAGAGCCCTCAGTTTACAGAGAACTGCAGAAACTAAACACCAAGGAACTAAACTAACATTGTCAATCATCCAATGGTTGAGAGAACTGAATAGACAGTTATCTTGAAAAGGGAGGAGGAGGAGTAGAGGAGGAGGAGATGAAGAAAAGGAGAAGAGAAAAGATGAAGAAGAGAAGGAGGAGTAGTAGGAGGAGGTGGAGGAGGAGCAGAAGGAGCCATGGTATTGGGAGAGGGAGACATGGAAAGCAAAGGCCAACCATCAGACATTTTCAGGAAAACTACTTTTCTGTCTGCCTACTATAAGCATTGCCACAATGGTGAGTGACCACCAATCTAAAGTCAGAACCCCTCCAAGTTGCCAGTGTCAGGACCCAAATTCCCATGGTGACAAGTCCCAGGTTCTGCCCAAGATACAGACTGACATCTGGTTTTCTGTTCAGTTTAGTGGAGGTCATGGGTGGCTGGGGCTGTGGAGCCGGCCTGACTGCTGGGATGGGGCCAGGCTCTCACACCATCCAGGTGATGTCTGGCTGTGATGTCGATTCGAAAGGATGCCTTCTCCGTGAATATGAACAATTTGCCTATGACTTTTATGATTACATGTCCCTGAACAAGGACCTGAGAACGTGGACTGCCATGGACATGGTGGCAGCACAGATCACTAGTCTGGAGTTGGAGCTGGCTGGTGAGGCAGAGAGATACAGGGCCTACCTGGGGGGCCAGTGTGTGGAAATGCATTGCAGATACTTGGAGAAGGTGAATGTGACTTTGAGCACAGGTGCACAGGCCAAGGGCAACTCCTCACTCTACACAAAGGCTATGATAAATCTGTGTTCTTCAACACATTCCAAATATAACAGGATTAGAGGGCGAAGGCTGACACTGTAGACCTCCAAGGTGTGATGAGCCATTGGGTGAGCCTGAAGTGTTGCTCGCATAGGGGGTGAAGGCTGACACAGGCTCAGGACAGTGTGAATGTGAGGCCATTGCAGGAGAGCATGGCTGCTACTTTGACCCGACCTGCAGGACGTCAACCTGGGGCAAGAGAGTCAGGGATAGGGAATGGGGACAAGAGACACAGAAAGATCGATCACAAGACAGGATTCTGATCAAGTGGCAAACTTTACTTTTCTCAGGCTATCTTATATAGTCAGGATATGGAGAGGGGCAGAATGGGTTGTTTGCGCACCAGGTGTTAGTATAGGCATGATATTAGGAAACCACAAACAGGATGTTTGGCAGGGTAAAGAGTTCATGAGTAAGAGGTCCAGGAAGGGTTTGCCTAGGTGACTGAGCCTGTGAATGGAGGACTGGGTTTCTAAGGAGCTTCTATGTAAAGGTTAACTATGTGCCCTGCCAAGCATGGGCTAGGATCTCATTCCAAGCCCCGAGATTTGGCTCCCAACACTGCTTCTCCTTTGCAGCCCTGGATATGGCCCCTTCCCTGAGTCCTGCTGCAGTGGTCCAGGTTTCACAGGCTGTGCAGAGTCCTCTGTGGAGTCTGATTCTCTACTTGGTCCACTGGGAACCTCAGTCCTCAGATTCCCAACACTGATGTATTTGGATTTTGAAGACTGTCCTCTGTTAATTGTGACAAATTCTTTCCTTGAATGCAGTTTTTGCTTTTTTCCTCATGATACAAGATCCTGACCAAGTGTCCAGCCCTGGAGCCCCCCTGTGCCTGAATGGAGACGTAGTGACCGTTGTTCTGGTTGTTATCTCCACCCTGTTGCTTCACAGTTACAGGCTTCCTACTTCCCAAGGACTATCCCTTACCCTTTGGCTTCCCAGTACCCAGTCCAGTGTATCCCGGTGCTGTGTACCATTTTGGATAAAAGAACCCTAGATTAAGAGACATGCAGAAGAAATGTGTACTTTAAATACAAATATGAGCCTTTCATATTGGGGGTTCTAAGACACCAGAGGCACTTCTGCAAGCTGTGGAGGGCTCACTACCAACAGGGCTGTTAATTTTATGGGTCTTTTCATTCTTTTCCCTGCATCCACTTAGGATGAGAGGATGTAGTGGCTCTCCTCTCTTGATGCCTGGCGTCCCTGCACAGGCTGGCAACCCCCATGTGTGGATTCAGACTGCCACTGAGACCCTGAGACCCAGGGGCAGACACTTGTATTTTAGGTGTCCTTACGGTGGGGCAAGTGTGCTATTCAAACATCCAAGATTCCAATGACTCCCCATTGAGAAATGTTTTCTCTGTATAGTAAGATCTGTCCAGAGTGAAATCTTGTTTGTTTGTTTGTTTTGTTGTTTGAGACAGGGTCTCTCCACATAGCCAGGCTGTTCTGGAAATCACAGAAATTTCCCTGTCTCTGGCTCCCAAGTGCTGGCATTAATGGAGTGTGTCACCACGAAGTTACAACCATGAAATGTTGGTACAGTGAAGGGCTCTGGACTCAATCACCATCAAATGCTATCAGAAAGACTTTTATTTAAAAAAAGACTTTTATTCCTGTTGTGACTAAAATGGTAGAAGTCGACCATGCATTCTGTTCACGAGTATACAGGCCTATTGAAAATTAAACATATAAAGAAAAAGGGAAATACATAATCAGGCACATGAATGCATTGTGTGAATCATTCCCCAGAAATCTGATTTGACCACAGAGCTTTTGGCTCTGGAACCATGGTCTTCTCCTTTACCCATGCTCACAACATCAACATAAGACATTTGGGTCAAAGGAGTGTGATATAATACGTAGGGAAGTAATCTGTAACCAGGGCTTTCATGAATCCTAGAAAGTGAGCAATGGCAGAGAGATGGTGTTGGCTAAATGGAATGCAGAGGACTTAAGAGAACTTGGCCATGGCCCCATCCCATTGTAAAGCATCACCTTGCTCAGGTGAGCAGTGACAGGACACTGGGTGTTTCTTAGATACAAAGACTCCAGGGAAGCAGATGAGCAGTGTGGGAGACAATGCTGGAAAACTGTGAATGTTCACAGATGTGAAAAGAACACAGATATGATGGTGACTACAGTCTGAAGCTGGAATAGCAGCAACACAGCAGTTATAGCATTTCTTTTTCAGGCAACACACACATAAAGACCAATTTCCATATCATTAAAAAAAGTTTAAAATGGCCAGTTGTTGACAGAGCTCTTCTTTAATCCCAGGACTCAGGAGGCAGAGACATGTGTATCTGTTTGAGTTCGGGGCCAGCCTGGTGTACAGAGTGAGTTCCAGTACAGCCAAGGGTACACAGGGAAACCCTCTCTTGAAAAAAGAAAGTTTAAAATGGACACCATGAACAGGCCATTTACTGCTGATTTTGTCTCATTTGTTTGGAATTAACTGATACTCCTGTGAGGAAGCATTCAACATTTCTTCATTTTTTTTTAGATTTTATTTATTTATTATGTATACAACATTCTGCTTCCATGTATATCTGCACCAGATTCATAACGGATGGTTGTGAGCCACCATGTGGTTGCTGGGAATTGAACTCAGGACCTCTGGAAGAGCAGTCAGTGCTCTTAACCTCTGAGCCATCTCTCCAGCCCTTCATTGTTTTTTTTTTATTTTGCTATTTCAGACAGGGTTTCTCTGTGTAGTAGCCCTGACTGTCCTGGACCAGGGTGGCCAGGATCTCAGTGATTTTCCTTCATCTATCTCTGGAGCGCTGGGATTAAAGATGTTGATTACTTCACAGAATATTCTTCACTGTTTAAGACAGCTTATTAATATACTGAGATGTGCTACATAGAAAGATTCACACACACACACACACACACACACACACACACACACACACAATGCTTCACCTGCTGATCCAAATGTTACCAAAGTTCCTTGGTCTTGATCAATTTCTTAATTACCCACACTAGTAGACTCTGCCTTAGGAGTTCTAGGGTTAGCATCAGAGGCTGCACCAGGATTCCCAGAGCCAGGGAGGTAGAGGCAGAGCAGAACACAGTCCCTTCAGGACCCGATCCAAGGTGAGTCCCCTCTGATGATCCTATACACAAGGGTTAGATTCTGAGAGATTGGGGGAGGGGGAGAACTTCCAGGCAACAGCTCTGAAAGGAGGCAGGAGCTCAGGGGCTGAGGGTCACCTCCTGAGGACAGGGGCCTTGTTGGCACAGGGACAGGAAAAACACCTCCCACTGTGGCCCCACTCCCCAGGAATGACAACAGTGCTGCTCCTCCATACAAACCAAGAAGACAGGAAATAAACAGGGAGCTTGGTTAAAGAGCCACAGCTAGGACTGAGTCCAGGCAGTCCTTACTCTGCAGTCCTGGCTGCTCACAATCCTGAACACAGGACAGGGCTGGGGACACCCTTGTATTCCTGTGATCAGTCTACCATCATGTGGTTATACTAAGTGACAAGGACAAAAGAGCTAAGGAGGACATAGCTTAGGGGTGACCACACCAAACCCACATGGACTGAGCTCCACCAGGCCCAGCCCCATCCTCACTCAGCTCCCACAGACTCCTCCTGTCCCCATGACAGTCAGCACAGCAGACACAGATTCTGGAAGGTTCTCCATGCTGGCATTTATTTTCTCCATCACACTTTGAGAATTCTTGCCTTTAATTTGAAATGATAATCTCTCAGGTCAAGCACATGAATCATCAAATTCATATTCAGATTTTTATTTTCTGTGGGGAAGCCAAGGCCTGTGGTTCATGGCAGCAGGGAGGTGACAGGATGGAGTTGTTTTCTCCTGTCTGTGTGGATCAGGAAGGTTGGCTGTGGAAGGGAGCAGGGTCAGGATCCTGGTGTGCCAGGGTGGGTTGGGTTCCCCATATTTCTCATTGTATGAACAGAAGAAACTCAGACATTGACATCTAAAGAGAATTCACTGGTTCTTAAGGCAGAATTGGTCACTCAGTCTCACTTGTGTCACGAAAGTCAATATAAAGGTCTCTCAAAGGCTCACCAGTCACTGAAAGGTCTAAGTGCCAGAGGCCTTGGGACTCCGTCCTTTACTCCTTGCCTCAGCTCCAATCCCAGGCCTCCAGGGTGTCACCTTTTCAAGCCTCCAGACACAAGTCAGACCTCTGGGCACTGGTCCTGTCTGCAGAAGAAATAACCAGACACAGTCAGGAGACTGACAGCTGTGGCTGGAGGAGAAACCATCAGCTCAGCCTCCACCCCAAGTGCCTTGGGGACAATTCTTCCCTCACATACTGACATGCAGCAGGGGCAAAGACTCCTTCTCCACCTGTGAGAAGAAAAGCTGTGAGAGATCAGGGAAGTCCTGGTCACCAGAAAGTATTCACAGCTGTGACTGCAGACCAGGGAAGGGTCAGGGGCATGAGGAGGGAAGAAGGTATGCAGGAAAGAACCAATGGCAGTCTGCAGGTCTGTCCTCAGCAAGGACATCTCTGTCCCCTGAAATCAGGTCCCCATCACCTCCCCCCATCATCAGGATATGAACATTTCTTTCCTTTACCAAGTACTTTAGAGTAGGTGATTGTCAACATACAGACCCAGAGATGGGCATGGG